GGAAAGAGAAGTGAGCAGCAGGAGCCCAGCAGCTAAGAACAGCTATGTTCTCTCTCTCCCACCCCCTCCCCTGTGAAAGAGGGAGCAACTTTCAGCTCCTCTGGCCTCCAAGCATGCAACACTAGCCCGGTGAGGGCAAAGCTGTGAAAAATCCATGCAGCTGTCCTGCTTCCCCAAGGGCTGTCTGTAGACCAGGAAATATGGAGAAGATGACCCTGCTGCAGCTGCACTCCCAGACCTGGCATAGGAAAACGGAACAACCCTAAAGATGCAGGAGGAACAGAGGAGACTGAAGACCAAGGGGGAGTTACATGGTCGGGGATAAGGGGCACAAAATATGGTATTAGATCTTTTGGGTTTGAAAAGACTGGGAAAAAAGTGCAATCAGCAAGCGTTCTTGGAGCAGAATGACTTTACTGTATGAAATCAAGAGAGCTGGCAACACACACACATGGCTGGGGAGATGTGGTGAGACAGCTATAAATGAAAAAAAAGGCAGACCAAAAACTACAATACAGTTTTAAAAACCTCTGACATAGGGTAAGGAGGGAACTAGCTCTTAAGTGTTTGACCTTTTTGAAACTTAGAGTTCTTTGGAGGTACTTCTGCACAGACAGAAGTCCCTCAAACTCCAGGAAAGGTAGAATGATACTGACAAGGTAAGTCATGGACACCAGCATCAGTACTAGGGGCTGGATGAACGGACTGTCAGGAGGATAGAAAGCTGGCTGGATCATCAGCCTCAGAGGGTAGTAATCAGTGGATCAATGCCTAATTGGCAGCTTGTATCAAGTGGAATGCCCCAGGGTTGGTCCTGGGGCCAGTTTTGTTCAACATTTTCATCAACAATTTGGAAGATGGTAGAGTGCACACTCAGCAAGTTTGCAGATGATGCCAAACTGGGGAAGTAGTAGATATACTGGAGGGTAGGGCTAGGATTCAGAGTGACTGACACAAACTGGAGGGTTGGGCCAAAAGAAATCTCATGACGTACAACAAAGACAAGTCCAAAGTCCTGCACTTAAGACAGAACGATCCCATGCACCGGTACAGGCTGGTGGCTGACTGGCTGGCAGAGATGTGGGTTTTCCAGAAAATTTTGAATTGGAAAATTCAAAAGATTCTGGAAAAATTTCTGAAAAATTTTCCAATGCCCTACATACAGCACGATCTTGACTTAGCATGTTTATTTGACATATATTTAAGTCCAAAGTCCTGCACTTAAGACAGAACGATCCCATGCACCGGTACAGGCTGGTGGCTGACTGGCTGGCAGAGATGTGGGTTTTCCAGAAAATTTTGAATTGGAAAATTCAAAAGATTCTGGAAAAATTTCTGAAAAATTTTCCAATGCCCTACATACAGCACGATCTTGACTTAGCATGTTTATTTGACATATATTTGTAAACAAAAATAAAAAAGTACCCCCATGTTAATTTTATGTCCCAATAGCCACAAGTATTTGAAATGAAATATTTGATTAGGAAAAAAAATAAATACAGTACACTTAATGTGGTTTAAATGTTATAGTCAAACAAAATTCAAAGCTTTACATAGAAAGAAATTATTTTTATTGGAATACTAGTAAAAATGTAAAGACAATACACAATAGCATGTACTTCCCTTGCATTGTTTGTTTAAATTTAAGGGAAAAAACGAAGGCACTGAAAACTGTTGACACGCGAATTTTAGCACACCCAAAGAACTGTGCATGAGATGCTGTGGTTGTCCACTCATCTACTTCAACAGCATCTTCAGTAATTGTGCTTCTGACTGATTCTCCAGAAACAAGAGATTTTGAGAAATAGAAACAAGCTTAGTGGTGCATTCATTTGTTAGTCTATTCCTCTTTTTTGTCTTTATTGAGCTAAAAGCCTTCCAGTTCCATTCACAAGAAGCTGCTGTTGATTGAATGCTTAGGATCCTTAGAGAAATCCTGGACAACAGTCAGGTGTTACAGTATCCCTTCCACCAGGTGAAAGGAGACATTCTCCGCTGCCTGCCAAATGATGTCTTTGCTCCAACGTTTTTCTATTGCGTGGTACTCGGCAACGTCTGTCATCGCTGCTATTTCGTTTATGTTGGGGACATTCTAAGCTACTTCCGTAATTGTATTGAGAGCAGTAGATAATTCATCTTCTGATAAATGTTGTCCTGTGTTGAGGATCCAAAAGGTTTGCTGCCTGATGAACTGGATGAGAGCAAAACTCAGATCTCTTAGTAAACATTTGTTTTACTACTACTACTTTTTTTGGTTAGAGGTGAAGGCGCAAAAGCTCAATTAGATTTTCATTCAGTTGTCTGACTATCTCTGGAATATTTGAAAGGCTTGGTGCATCTTGTTCAAG